ACATTTTTTAGGAAGGAAGTAGTATTAAATAAGAACATCCATGCGTCCAAGACTAGATGGACATGTTGCATCACAACAAATGACTATTGCCTGTTCGGTCACTCTACAGGTCAGCCCAATTTTCCGTTTGTTTGGAATTTATACTGCCTCAATTCCTTGCCGATCACAATTTTTAGGAACTTTATTTACATCTTTCATGAAAAATACAGATTTGAGGGAAGGACAAAGTGAAGTTCAAATATAGACAGGGTACAAACCATGCTGCAGCATTTCTTTCCCACAACAAAACACTGCAGCATTATTAACATGAAGGAATGCAGAGAACATCGACGTTGTTTTGAAGGCGCCTTTTGGGATCTCAGTAACGAGCTGGCCCCTGGGCGATAGCGCGGTTGGCCACGAGGCTGGTGGTGCCGTACACGGGCAGCTCGTCCGCGCCGGCGCCACGAAGGCTCTTGAGTTCGAAGAGGTCGGAGCTGGCGTCGCTCCCCTCCTCGTCCTCCTCCAGCTCCTCGAGGCTCCGCACCAGCTCCTCCACCCTTCGCCGCACCACCGTCGACGCCTCGGCTTCCGGGCGGAGCCTCACAGTCCTCGGCTCCGACGGTTCCGCCGGCGCGTCAGCCGCTCTCGCAGCGCTCGTCGCCGACATGCGCGGAGGCTGCGGCTGCGAGATTTTGGGCGGAGGAGTGGCTGCCGGAGTCCTGGGTTTCCGTTGGAGGCGCGCCAAGGAGAACAGAGCCTTGAGGGCGCACGCGAACGTCGCCGGCGACGGCGGCTGCGGCTGCGGCTGCGGCCCGGACGATGCTGATGGCACTGAGGCCTTTGGTCGGATTCTTGCAACGGGGAAACACGGCCTGGCCTTCTTCTTCGGTTTGCTCTTGGTTAGTGGCGGGGTTGCCTCCTCGGCGTCCGTGGAGACGGATTCCTCCAACAACGACATCCGCGGCGGGAGGGGCGGGCTGTGGCGGCGGCACGTGGACGACTCAGTATCCGTGGTCGACGCCGACGAGCAGGAGAAGCTGCTGTAGCTAGCCGCCGACGAGTCGGACGACGACGTGGTCGACGACGCGTACCCCGAGTGGCGCGGGCGCGCGACTCCCGTCTCCCCCCGCCGGCGCCTGTCCCTGTCCCTGTCCGCGCTCGACGAAGACTGCCTGGGCTTGGCCGCCGCCTCCTTATTATTCGCCCACCAGAACTGCGCCGTGGCGGTCGCGGTCGTGGCCGCCTTATTCTCCTCTACACCACTCCCGCGCGCGGCGTCAACGACGACGGCATCCGCGCCATCGCCGCCGTCGTCGAGGGAGCGGTAGATGGCGTCCAGGAGCGATGCCGAGAAGGAGCCGCTGGACGGCTGCCGGGTGCGCTCCCCGGCGCGCACCCGGCGTGGCGGTGGGAGCGGGTGCGGGTGCGGGTGCTTGCCGCCGTGGCAATGGCCGCGCCGCTCCATGCCGTCAGAGAATCGTGCGCTGATCGCACCGCACCACCACCAAGGGCCGACGAAGGACGTTCGGCAGTGATATAGATAGGGAGGCGATTAGGCGAGCTCGATGTGGAGTGGAAGAGGCGAGGAAGGTGGGAGTGGGATCGATGATGAGGATCGGAGCAGGAAGAGGGCAGGACGTGCGCGGTAACGCTTATATATGAGTTGGTGTACGTGCAGCCGAGTGGTGGAAGGAATCCGCTGCGCTGGCGTGTCAGCATGTGTCCTTCACTCTCCTCGCGCTCGCCTCGCCTCGCCTCGACGCCACCACCAACCGGGGTCGGGCGCGGCAGGCCATTATTTGCGCGGCCATCACGTACGTGGTGCGGTGCGGTGGTGGCCACTGGCCGGCCGTTGTGTGATTGATCATTTGCCCGTCTGCCGGCCCGGGCGTCAAGTCACCGCGCGCGCGCGGACAACGGACGCACAGCTGAAACGGCATGGGCGCGCCCAGTGCTGATGTTGTACAACAGCGTGTCATCTTCATGGACAAGAGAAGATGTAGTACACTTGAGCAGACTTTGGCATGAGCGAGCGTCCAAGCAACCGGACCAAATTATTAGAGACACGATGAAGCGGGCGACCGGCCCCTGGCCAGCTCAGCTTGCCATTCATTCATTTGATTCATGTCTCGTGCGGACAAATTGCACGGGACCAGGCATAGTGAGGTGACACAAGAGAGGTACCGTCTACTAATTATTAGTCTTGTATTGTATGCATAGGAATTAACCGACGTTTCCGTAGCATGAAATTCAATATCTATAAAACCACGTAATGAAACTTTTATTGAGAGCGGATGCTTCGTCCATACTTAATTTCGTTCTATATGATATGATAGTTTCAGTAATAACAACGTGAATCTCCTCCCTAAGGCTGGTCTTATAACCATCTGTCAAGTAAACAAATCAGCCGATGGATCACGATATTAAATACAAACAAAACTTAAATAAAACCCCAACTGAAATTTCACGTACGCGCACAACTTTTGTGTTCTCTGGAGGTAGAAAAAACAGGCAAACTTGATTTATTGATGGGAGATGCTAGCACCCGAACATCCGGACGCGCGCACGTGTGTCCGAACGCCTGTGCCTGCTGGTCCATTTCCCTGCACCCCGTTTCCCACGCCTGCTCGTTTTTGCATGCGCAGGCAGGGCCCGTGCCGCCCAGACATCTCCCACGCCGACCGACCACACGTGGGCGCCCGCTTGGCGACGCCCCAGCAGCTGTAGCATGCGACTGCGGCAGGTAGGTCCCATTCAACATGTGCAACATCCAATGTACTTTTGCAACATTCAGATAAAACACTTGCAACATACGTCTGAAACACGTGCAAAACACCAGAAAAAACTTGAAAGCATGTGTGTAGCCATTGCAAAACACCTGCAACATACGTAGTATGAAAACACCTGAAACACTTACATATATATACAACATGCAGATCTACTTTTGCAACATCCAGATAAACGCTTGCAATATACGTCTAGAACAGATGAAACATTAGGAACATACACTTGAAACATATGTGTATAGCCATTGCAACGTGTGCAACATCTTGATCTACTTATGTAACATCCACATGAAACGCTTGCAACGTACCTCTAAAACATTTGAAAAATATATTTACAACATACGACGTATCCTGATATGGCCTCCTCTGCCGTCTACCGGGGCACCACAGCCGTAGCAGGAGCGTGAGGGCGGATGGCTTCCACGCCAGGCCTGGCGCTTCTCCTTGCGTCGGCGGCGGCTATCGACGCCGTCGAGCGCGAGCACGCATGCGATGGCCTCGGTGTCCAGCTGGCGGGCGAGGAAGGTGTCCCCAGGCATGGGCGCGGCGGTGCCCGCGCTGTTAGGCGAGGCGAACGGCAGAGCAAGAGCAGCAGCAAAGGAGGTCCGATGGGTGTGGGGGCTTGAGCGGTGGAGGTGGCAGCGGTAGAGTTTTGGGGAAGAAAAGAGAGGGAACGCCATGGACGATAGACAGAGCAGATCACGGGACGTCTCCTTTTGTTATCCTTATCTGGCCGGTGCACGATAAAAAAAAAGGAAGCCTATTTGGTTGGTCCGCAGGCCGTGTGGTGCAGCTGCAGGCCCAGAAGGTACGGATGGATGTCCTGAAAACAGTATTACCGTTTTTTTTAAATCAGCATTGCCGTTTATTGATTTATTTCTTAAACGAAATGCGCACAACCTTTGTGTTCTCGACGTAGAAAAACCAGGGAACTTGATTTTCGATCCAGTGGTCCGGCCCAAGTCAAGAACTCGGCCCAATGGTCACCGTCGACCAAAGTCATTCCAGCCGAGGTGGCAGGTCCACGAGTAGCAATTAGGAGCAGAACACAAGCATCCCTTATGTAGAACCTCGATTTCTCTTATTATATATAGTTAATTATTGTTGGTAAAAAAGGTTAATTATTAAAAAATAATATTATCTCAGAGGTATTTTGAATACAAATCTATTGATCTAAGTTTTATGCTCTGAACTTGTATATAATTTGACTAATTGTTAATTAAAATTTATCAACTTTGACATTTCTTCTAGCCAAATAGGACTATCATTTCTTGATGGAAGTAGTATAAGAGATCAAAGCGTCAGACAAAATGAAATGTCTGATAAAAGACCACCTTATCCCTCACTAGTTAGGATGGAGAGAGTAGTTGAATTGTTATTTTTCATGTGTTTATTTTGGATGACGTTAAGTTTAAAAAGAATCTTATTTTTTTAATAAAAAAGCAGAGGAGATAGAAGATTGAGGACTCAGAATATCTTGTATTTTGATATAAATTTTTATTTTTAAATTATTTTTTTGACCATACCACGAGGTACGTATTTTATTAAAAAAAAGTAGAGTTGTTAAATTACAAAATTTAAATGGTAATCCAAGGATTACGACAGCAAGGGAAGCAACGCAAAGTTACAAGCCGGCACTAAGGTGTGTTTAGATCCAGTGACTAAAGTTTAGGAGGTGTTACATGGGATGTTATATGGGGTGTTCGGATACTAATAAAAAAATAAATTACAGAATCCGTTAGTAATACGCGAGACGAATTTATTAAGCCTAATTAATCCGTCATTAACATATCTTTACTGTAGCACCACATTGTCAAATTATGGACTAATTAGGTTTAAAAAATTTATTTTATAAAACAGTCTCGGTCTATACGTATAGTTTCGTAATTAGTCTATATTTAATACTCACCGCTAAACATCCCAGCGACGAGAACATGTAGGGTCCCTGACCCCGTCCCTTTGACGTATTTTTTACAGAAAAACACCCCGTGGAAGGCAAGAGATGAAGCCGGCGTCGCCTCGCGACGCGACGCCAACGTCCCGTGGTCCGAGGCGGAGAAGACGGCTCCAGCAGCGATGTACGGCCCGCCTCCTCGCCTTGTCGCTGCGCGGATCCCGCGCGCGCGGGAAGGTGCTCTCGCGCCAAAATCTTCTCCTCATATACCCCGGTGAAGGTGAGCCATTACCGGTTCCTTTCTTCCACCGTCTCTCCTCCAACCTTCGGCGACCGCGATGTTGAGCGCCTTGGCTAGGAAGAGCAAGCTGGTTGCCGCCGGTAAGAAGAGCAAGGGTGCCGCGGCTACTGCTACAGCGGCGGCGGCGGCGGCCTCGGTGCACACATCCGGGCGTGGAAGTGGCTCGGCGGCCCGCATCCTCAGTCGTGGGGGAGGCACGGCCTTGGGCGCAGATTCTGCGAGCCGAACCCTAGGTCGCGGAAGCGGATCAGCGTCGGCGGCCGCATCGGCAGCAGCGGCGACCTGTCCTATCTCCGGTGGTCTCGGGTACGGCGTGGCGACGGTTCCCATTGGATCCGGCGGAGGTGCCTTCCCTGGCGCGGCGACGGCTCCATCGTTGGACGGTGGGTGTGGGTTTCCATTCCCCCCTTCACCATCTACTGCTTGGTGGGAACCAGCCGGTGATCCAATTTCTCCTTCGTTTGGGCGTTCAGCAGCTTGGGATCCTTCATGGTAATCTCTTGTGCATATTTAGCTTTTTATGTTGTTTGGATTAGTTATGTCGATAATGTCAGGTACTGAAGTAAGCACATTTTATTTGCCAAGAACAGAGTGTGCATCTCCACCTAGTGGTCCTATCAAGTTTCAGCCATTGATCTTTTTAGTTACATGTCCTAGACGTCTTAGTTTAGAGTTTCAGTTACATTGCTGCCCAGTGTTCCTTTTATTTCACTTACAGTGTGGTGTTTCAGTTATCTGAAACTAACTTTGCCCTGTAGCATACTTCAACTGACTCTTTTGCCTGAAACTAATTACTGAATCATTGTCTAGTGTGAACTGAAAATGCATTGGTACTAGTCCATTCATGCATTACCTACTGCTATTTTCTGAACTGCATTACAAGGCACTAGTAAGTGTATTCGTGCATTGGTACTTAAACTAACTATGCTACGGTTCAGAAAACCTATTCATTCACTGCTAGAGAAGCTAAACTGTACTGTCTATGTTTGCTGCAGGGACAAAGGACCCACGTCCATCTAATGGGTTTATGAGCTATTTTGGTAATCAACCACACAATTTTCATTTGGTTGGTGCACCTGTCCATAACATTGAAGGAAGTTCATCGACAGAAGTGCAGATCTTCTAAACTTCTATATTCTGTGCACAGGATGGCATTTTGGAGTGATGAAACTTCTAAGTCCTGAATTCTGAAGTTCACTGAAACTATCTGCTATGATGTCCAGAAACTGGATTTTGGTGATTATGTAGTGTTAAGTGTCAGTACTCTTAAGTTTCAGTACTGTTAAGTGTCTGTTAAATTTCTGAAAACTGGATGGTGGTGATTCTCTAGTGTTAAGTGTCAGTACTATTAAATTTCTAAAAACTGGATGGTGCTCATTTCAGTTAAGTTTCAGTGCTCAAGAATGATCTAATCGAGCACATATGGCAGCGTTGTGGAAATAAAGAAAATTAGACAATATGTTGCAATTATATATAATATATTTATTATATTGATGGTTTTAAAAATATTGTAATTATGTTCATCTTATCTTCTCTAAATACTAATCCCGAACCAAAACCGGGCTAATGGATAGGGCCACGTCGCCCGTTAACGCTCTGGCCGTCTGATCTGGCGAAGAAGCAATACTGTCTGTCCGATTGAGGATCGGTTCGGGCGTCGCCCGCTTCATCCATCCGGTAACTCGTGAAGATTCTCGGTCGTCGTGCTCTGGCCTCCGAGAATGGAAGAGGCAACGCGGATACGACCCATCGACAAGCTGACGGGGCGCGGGGCGGCCGCCGGCCCCCAATGCCTGCGCACGCAACGCCGAGCAGAGTGTCGGACGTCGGTCGGCGAAGAGACGCGCTCAGGCCATCAGATCGATGTCGGACGTCGGGCAGGGTGCTCGGTCCTCCTCCTCAGCCACGGTTGCTGCTCCGTGAGTCCTGCTCCACCCCCCTCCCTCATCTTCCTGATCCCTTCCCTCCCTGCTCTACTCTTAGGGCGTGATTGTTTGCCCGAATCGGGCCGTTATATGGCCCATCCCGCACCCTTTGATGCATTTCGCCTGTGTTTGGTTGCTCTACTCGCACGTTTCTCCTGCTTCCTCTCGTGCAGATGCCCTCCTCCATCCCGGACGGCGCCGTCTTCTCGATCCCCACTTCCCTCTCGGTGTAGGCTCGCTCGGTGCTTGGCGGGAACCTTTTCGGAGAGCGCGGGAGATGAGGTCGTCCTAGCGATAAAGCGCGCGCGCGGGTCACGGCTAGGGTTACCGCCCTCACTCTTCGCCTCTCCTTTTGCCATAGCTCTGGGGCGAACTCCCCTCTAGCTCCCCCTCGACCTCGGTAGCCCTACCGAGGCGACCACCGCCGGCGGATTTCTCTCGGTCCTCCGGCGCTTCGACGGTATATGCCACCTACGCTCTTCCCCTCCTCCTTCTTTAGTGTCGATTTTGTTGATTTGTTTGTGGATTTTGCTTGCAATGCCAAGAAATTAGGGTTCTTGGTTTGACATCCTCAGATCTGTGCGATGCTATACCTGATTTACCTGTTCCTAGCTCAGATATGTACATGATGCTTCGTATTTGGTGTATACCTCATGTTTTGTATAGATCTTGTACATGCTGATGCCTATTTTGTTGTACACACTGAGCAAAGTGCCTAGAGGTCAGTGATGTTGATTGTGTAATAGTATACGCTGGAGGAGCACCCTTTGGTGTGACAGCCGCATCTTTCATAGTTTATTTTGTTTGATTTTTTGCTTGCTAAGCAGTACACATCCATGTTGCATGCTCCCTTTCTAATGTTGCCCTCCATCCTGTTGGTAGACATGGCCTTTGAAGCTAGGCGCAGGGCTACCGCTGCTGTGGTTGTTGCAGTGGCTACTTGGTTTTTCATGTGGTTTAGGAGGAGAGTTGAAGATTCGCGCTCAGTCACCTATGGTCCCATGGCTGAGAGGGACAAACAGAGGATGAACAACCTTAGATACATCTATGAATTTGATGATGTGCACTGTGTTAACCTTCTTAGAATGAAGAGGACCCCTTTTTCAACTTTGTGACCTTTTTCGTAGTAGAGAGCTTGTCACTGACAGCATACATGCATCTGTTGAAGAACAAGTAGCCATGTTCTTGCATGTTGTTGGTCGCAATGAGAGGTTTAGGGTGGTTGACCTCACCTTCAGGAGGTCCGCAGAGACAATTAGTAGGTTCTTCCAGAAGGTGTTATATGCGGTAGGAGAGCTAAGGAATAAATTGATTGTCCCTCCTGCTACCAATGTCCATCCTAGGATCCTTGGGAGCAGAAGGTGGTACCCCTATTTCAAGGTTGGTATCCATAACTTGTCATACATAGGTCTCATTCATTATCAGTTTAGTGTCAATGTTCACTTGCACTTATGTTTTGTTGATTTAGGACTGCATAGGAGCAATTGATGGTACTCATGTCTTAGCTAGAGTGCCTGTGAAGATGCAAGCTGCCTTTAGAGGTAGGAAGCACACCATCACACAAAATGTGTTGGCAGCCGTGGACTTTGACCTCAGATTCACCTATGTGCTTGCTGGTTGGGAGGTATCTGCACATGATGCTCTTATCTTGTCTGATGCTCTTGAAAGAGCTGATGGCCTTAGAGTGCCACCAGGTATCATCCAAACCACAAAAAACCATTGACACTTTGCTTAATCCTAAATGAAACTACTAAAATATATCCCTATCTGCTAATTTCTAGGCAAATTCTATCTTATCGATGTTGGATATGCAGTGAGGCCTGGCTTCTTGCCACCATTTCGTACCACAAGGTACCATTTGAGGGAGTTTGGTTCAAACCGACCTCAAAATCAAATAGAACTTTTTAATCTAAGGCATTCGTCTCTTAGAGTAACAGTTGAGAGGGCTTTTGGGGCTCTAAAGAATAGATTCAGGATATTGGACAATAAGCCTTTCCACCCATACAAGACCCAAGTTAAGCTTGTTCTTGCTTCTTGTATTCTTCACAATTGGATCCTCAGGCATGGGCAGGACGAGCATGTACCTGCTGAATCCACATGGACTCCTAACATCAATGACAATGTCTCACAGCCAGGTCATGTCCCTGACAATGGTACCTAGGCACAACAGAGGGAGGCATGGGCTGCACAGATGTGGCAAAACAGGGGGAATTCTAGGGTGTAGTGGCATGGTGTGTGTACTGTTTAGTAGCATTGATGGAACTTGTATTTTAACTGAGACCTATGGCACTTTGCAATGATGTAGTACCTATTCATTTTCTGCCTATTTGATCTATTGAGCTTGTATTTCATATCATGTAATTTGTTTTCCTTACGTACTGGTTTGTTCAATGTTATGCTGGTTATGGATAGGAAATGGACAATATGCTTGACCAGGTTGATAACATTGGTGGTGAGGACAATGTGGTGGAATAGGGTGGGGTAATTGCTGCTGATGATGGCAATCCAGTAGCCCCTCAGCCCAATGGCCCTATGCACTAGACTCTTGTCCAGTCTGGGTTCATGCTAAGGAGGTTCCATGATTTGGTGGGGCAGGGGTCAAAACTGACAAAGGGTTCAAGGAGGTACATGTTAGGTAGGTTGCACTCATGGTCTCTGAGTTTGCTAGGGTCAATGTGAGCACCCAGCAGATTTACAATCACCTGAGAAAGTGGAGGCAAAGGTGGGTTAAGATTGTTAGGCTCAAGGATTTGAGTGGTGCTCTGTGGGATGAGGACCATCATATGATAGTACTTGATGATGAACACCTGCTTGGCCACACCAAGGTTAGAAACTGTTTGGATAACACCTCAGCTATCCCTTTTGCTTTTGCTCCCTTATGTCTAATAGTTATATCTGTTTCACTAACTAGGACCATCCTGCTGATGCTAAGTTCTTGAACACACCAATAGAGAACTATGTTCAGATGGAGGCCATCTTTGGTGGTAACCAAGCCATAGGCAGGTATGCAATGAGCTCAAATGAGCCTCTGGGTACTCCAACTACATTGGCCAAGGTGATATTGATGCCATTGAGGACATCACTGACTTAGGTGGCACAGATGCTGATTCTGGAAAGGGAACTCCTTCTGGTATGGAAGGCTCTAAAGGTTCTAATGCCAAGGGCCAGGAGGAAAGGAGTGGCAAGAGAAGGAAGCTTGCCCAAGAGGAAATAGACCTCATGAATGGAATGATCAAGGCTGTGGAGTCTATAGGAGATGCCCTCAAGACTCCACAACATAATGAGGTGCACCAGGACCTTTATGGCTGTGTTATGGACTGCCCTGGGTACTCACAGGAGGCACTCATGTTTGCCCTAGTTTACCTGCTGAAGAACAAGGCTGAGGGACTTTGCTTTGTTCAGATGACAGAGGCTCATAGGATCCTGTGGCTTAGGACCTACCTGAGCACAACCTACTTTGCTTAGATGCATATGAGTTGGCCTCTCCACTTTTGCATATAGACATGCTAACTGTCTTATGTTGTAGGAAGTATTTTGATGTGTAGCAGTAACCTCATCTGAGGCTACAAAGATCCATTTGCCGCCTGACCAAGGCTGCACCTAGTTTTGTATAGCATAGGAGCCATGGTGATGGATGTGAGGCTGTGTTGATCTGTGTGGTGTAGGCATTAACAATGGGTGACGGATTGTCACTTAGTTGATATGAGCCCTAAAATACCTTGGCTTGTCACTTAGTTGATCTGACCCTAAAATACCTTAGTTGACCTGAGACATTTCAGATGCTATTATTGTTCTTATTATTCTTATTGTTGGAGTTCCTATTTGGCCGATGATGCAAACTATAGCAATCTAAGGTGGTTGTGGGTATTCTTCATGTTTCTACTTTATTGTCTTCTTGTGTTTTCTCATGTCTGTCATCAAACCATGGGATACGTTTATTCCCAAGCAACTGTTGTAGGCATGCCTACCAGATGGCTGGGATGGACGTGTCCCACGCTTCCATGGCAGCCATGAACTTGCCTCAGCAATTTGTGTTCTTATTTGCCACCTGGGATGATTGCAGTTAGCTTGCAATATGATCATAAGTTAGTTTGCAGTTAGCTGAGGCCTGCATTTTTTTGTGCCTATGATGTCAACTATTTTTTTGACTGAGGCTAATACAATTGTCAGATCCTTTTCATGCCTATGAAGATAACAGTGC